AGTTTCCTCCATTCGCTTCTGTTTTGTGCTTTCTGTTTCCAGTGTATTCCTCCTATCTTTCTAATGTCATCTCCCCATCTCATCTGGGGTCGTCCTCTTGCTCTCTTTCCTGTCCATGGTCTCCAATGTTGTATCGTGTTGTTCCACCTATTGTCTGTTTGTCTGGCGTTATGACCTGCGAAACTCCATTTTAGCCTGGCTATATGTTGACCTGCGTCTTTGACTTTTGTTTTGTTTCTTATCCAGATGTTTTGCTTCTTGTCTTTTAATTTTACTCCCAACATTGCTCTCTCCATGGCTCTTTGTGTCTTCACTATCTTATCCATGTTTGCTTTGGTCAGAGTCCATGTTTGGCATGCGTATGTGAGAATTGGGAGTATGCACTGGTCAAACACTCTTGTTTTTAAGTACTGTTGTATTTTCTTATTCTTTAGGACCCATTTTAATTTCCCAAATCCTGCCCAGGCTAATCTGACTCTTCTTTTTACCTCCGCTGTTTGGTTTTCCTTATTTATTTTTATTATCTGTCCCAAATATATATAATCATTAACCGCTTCTATTGTGATTCCATTTAGTATTACGTTTCTATTATCTTGTGTGTTTGTCATTGTTTTCGTTTTGGTAAAATTCATTTTTAGGCCTATTTGTTCAGATTCCTTGGCTAGTTCGGTTAGCATAGTTTGTAGTTCTTCAAAACTTGATGTTATTATTACTACATCGTCTGCATATCTTAGATGGTTTAGTTTCTTTCCATTTATGTTTATTCCCATGTTTGTCCATTCCATTGTTTTGAAAACATCTTCCAGTGCTAATGTAAATAATTTAGGAGAAATAACATCGCCCTGTCGCACTCCTCTGTTAATTGGTATAGGTTTTGTGTTTTCTTCCAATTGTACTGTCATTGTTGCTTTCTTATATATATTGTGTATTAGCATTCTGTATCTGGAATCTATTCTACAGTTGTTTATAGCTCTTTCTATTGCCCACATTTCCACACTATCAAAAGCTTTCTCATAGTCAACGAATGCTAAATGCAGATCTAAATGATATTCGTTAGCTTTCTCTATCAGTGTCCTAATTGTTAAAAGATGGTCAGTGGTGCTATATCCTTTTCTGAATCCTGCCTGCTCTACTGGTTGATATGAGTCAAGTTTGTGTGCTAGCCTGTTGTTGATAATCCTCATGAATAATTTATACGTTTGCGACAGCAGTGAGATGGGTCTGTAATTTTTTATGTCCTTTTTGTCTCCTTTTTTAAATAGCAGGATTGTAAGACTTTCGTTCCATTCGTCGGGTATTTCTCCTCTATGTAGACACTGGTTAAATAGATTTCGCAGTGTTTGCAAGATTTCTTCTTTCATTCTGTTTCGTGTCTGTTTTAGCTTGCGTGAAGGAGGAGCTCTGAATTGAGTAGGGGCCCTTCTGTACTTCACGGAAGACAAATGGGCGGGGGAATCCTCAACCTCGACACGACGCGTCCCAATGGCTGATAGGGAACGTTCCTATAGATATATAGGACAGGTGTGAATAAGGTCTTACCAAATAAGCACCCGCGGATCAACTGAGGATATGGCATAGGGCAGCAGCTATGTCATTAGTGATTCAAGGCTGAAGGAAAATAACCTCCTCTCAGGTTTGATATCACATATTCACAGGCGGCAATCACATAATGATTTAACCGGCTGTGATACTGCGGTTACAAATCACCAACCCGCCTGGCCAGCGTGGTGATTTAAGGCTATTTTTCCCCAAACTATGTCGAATTTAAAACAAAAAGGAAATGTACCCCAGGTGGGTAGGAGAAATCCGGAATCCCACATCGGGAAACCGATCAGCCTCAAGGATTCTGGGGGAGGCAAAAGCTCGACAAGAACAAATAAGAGAAAACCGAAACTGAAAGAACCCAACAAAATACACATAGCGACATATAACATCAGATCCATGGCTCAAGATGAAAAACTGTACGAACTCGAAGAGGAATTAACTAAAATCAAATGGGACATTGTAGGGTTGTCAGAGGTCAAAAGAAGAGGAGAAATGTGTCTAGAACTAGAATCAGGAAATCGCCTATATTACAAAGGAAAGGAAGAAGAAACATACGGAGGAATAGGATTCCTGATCAAGAAGAAAATTAAACAAAACGTAATCGAGTATAAGAGCATATCAGATAGAGTAGGATACATAATACTAGAAATTAACAGGAAGACAAGAATGAAACTAATACAAGTATATGCCCCAACAACAACACACGAGGAGGAAGAAATTGACAAATTTTATGAGGATATCACCACAGCAATGGAAGACAAAAACATAAAAACAACGATCATTATGGGAGATTTTAACGCAAAAATCGGAAAGAAAATGGAAGAGTCGGAAAACAAAATAGGAAACTATGGACTTGGAACAAGGAATAGTAGGGGTGAGAAACTACTAGAATACTTAGAACAACAAAACCTTCATGCAATAAACACATACTTTAATAAGAAGCCAAACAGAAAATGGACATGGGTCTCCCCAAATGGGGTGACAAAAAATGAAATAGATTACTTCCTCTGCCAAAATACAAAAATCTTCGAAGACGTAACTGCACTTAATAAATTCTCAACTGGCAGCGACCACCGCATACTACGAGCCAAAATAGAAATAAACAAACTACAGATGCAGAAAGCCGGAAGAAAACCAACGGCTATTGACCATAGCAGAATAAAACAAAACGCAGAAGAATATAGACAAGCTTTAAGGGAAAACTATAAACACCAATTAGGAAAGGAAGAGTCGGAAATTAATAAAATTAATAAAGAAATGAAAGAAAAACTCTTAGAAGCGGGAATGAAAACCGCCAAAAAACTAAGAACCAAAGAAAATAGATTAAGTAGCAGGACACTTCAATTAATGGAAAACAGACGAAAACTAATAAGCGAAAACAAAAGAAACACAGTAGAATACGTAGAACTAAACAAACTAATTAGGAGAAAAGCAAGAGAAGATCTGAGAACATACACTGAAAATGAAATTGAGAAAGTAATTGAGAGAAACAAGGGCCTAAAATGTTTACGACCAAATTTAGGGAAGCCTCTACTCATTTCAATAAAGGATGAAACAGGAAGGGAAGAAAGGAGAAAAGATAAGATATCGGAAGAAGTAGAAAGATTTTATAAAGAGCTATACACCTCAAAGAAAGACGCAAACGTAAACACACAAGAATATATTAAAAAAAACAATCACTAATGTAAACTCAGAAACACTGCCAAAAATAGAAAATTATGAAATAGAGGTAGCATTATTACAATTAAAGAACAATAAAGCACCGGGACCGGATGGAATCCTTGCTGAAATGCTGAAAGACGATACCACAGTTGCACTAAATTCCAATAATTTTTCTCATGTAGTTCAAAAAGCAAACTGTCTTGTAAAAAGTATGAGTCTTTACTGTTTAAATAATGCCCTAATCTTAAATGGATCAAAGACCAATATGGTAACCTTTTCACCTTCTACTATGAAGATGAGTCCATTAGTAAGGCTTGACAATGGGTCTGTGGTAAATAGCCACTCCACCAAGTTGTTAGCTGTTTATCTGAATTCTACTTTGTCTTGGAGTTCTCACGTTGATTGTGTAGTGGGAAGATTGTCTGTACACTGTTATGTTCTATGGCAACTTAGGAATTTTGTCTCCCTAGAAATCTTGAAACTTTACTATTTTGCTCATGTACAGTCAATTTTGCAATATTGCTTAGTTTGTTGGGGAAATTGCTCGCGTATTAATGAGGTGCTTGTTCTTCAAAAAAAAATTATTCGTACCATGACGTTTAGAAGGCACTTGGATTCCTGTAGACCAATTTTTAAACAATTAAATATTTTAACTGTAATTTCGCTGTATATTTTCAGTTGTGTTGTATATGTAAAGTCACATAGATGTAATTTCATTTGCAGAAATGATGTTTCCTTAATGAGTGGCTACAATTTTCGTTACAGAAATGATTTGGTAACCCCTGCTCGTCACTTGACTGTTGTGGGCAAGCGTCCTTATCCAACATGCGTTAGTTTGTATAATAAATTACCTAATTATGTTAAAGGGTTAAATATTTATGTATTTAAGAGAACAGTTAAGAAATTACTTCTGGCAAACACTTTCTATTCGTTAGAGGAATACTTGCAGGCATCTTTTTAACAATTTGTATGTTTTTGTGTATATTTTATGTTTTATGACTGTGCTTATAGTTTTTACTTTTTTTTTACTACCTATGTACCTATAGTTTTTTAGATTGTATTTTGACGCATTTCAATACTTGTAAAAGTCAGATGAAATAAAGAATATTGATTGATTGATTGATTGATTGAAAGATCCGTAAGGATATCCTTAGTAAAAATCATCATGGATCCACTAATGGATAATTTACTTAATGATCATGGAGCTCGGAATCCACGATCCGGCCGGGGAAGACAATCAGATTTAGACGACAGGTCCTCTCAGGTCGTCATCAAGGTAAATCCCTGTCAAGCAAATAAGAATAACTCTATAGCCTTGAAAATCGGAACATGGAACGTAAGAAGTTTGTATCAATCAGACAAACTGGATAACGCTGTGTCGGAAATGAGCAGAATGAAAATTAATATATTAGGCCTTAACGATATACAATACGTATTTTGCACCTATAAACGTATTAAATAAACAATAACCAAACATTTTTTGTTGAATCAACTGGGGGATTGCTCCTGAGGTTGCTCTTTATAACCTAGGCCCCATTGCATAAATTTCTGGATTAGAAAGTACTTTTTCCCCCACAGCCTGGGCTAATACCCAAATTCATACTTTGTACACCTATTGTATTTTCTTACTCCTGCTAATGACCTTCGTGGTTAATGCGGTTATTTTCTAAATAAAAAAAACAACACAACTTTTGATGTCACTAAAATTTTATGTAACAAACATTAAAATATTTTAAACAATAGAACCAGCTGATATAGCTTCTAAACAAAAGTGTAACATAATATCGTATCCTTTAAACGGACGTTATCAAATTGGGCATATAATTATTCCTAAATATATTTTGTGAAAAATTCTTAAATTTGTTCTCGTTGAAGTCACTTTCTATTTCATCACTGGTATTAGTAGCCATGTATTCTAAAAATTTTCTTTGCTGTTCTTTCATTGCCATTAGTTCCTCTTCTTCTAGTACTTCTATTAGAGCTTCTTCGATGGTTTTTGCTACCAAAACTTCCACAATTGGTTGGACTTCGACGTTAAAGTCAAATAGCTAAAAAGATATAAAAAGATTATTATTTATAGGTTATTTATACGTAACTTATTTTAAGGACAGGGGTAGAGGCTAGGCTTTAAATGGTTGTAATGTAACTGCTATAGAAAGCAATATAAGTGGTGGATATACAAGTTTTTTTCTTAGTAAAGTAACAGACGATCTCAAAAACATTATACTTAATGGATCTTACTTTATCAATAATATAGACATAGATACATAATAGATAGATAATAGATAGAAGACAACAACAAAGATAGAAGAAGATGACGTTGAGGTATTTGATATATTTGTAGAGGTACTTGTTGTTGAAGTGTCATAGCAGTCGTTGCTGCTGAAGATACTGTAGTAGATTCATTTCTGTTTGAAAATGTAGTCGTTGGGACAGCTGTATCTGAGTTATTTACAGTTACTGAGCAAGTAATGGAAATTTGGCCATATTATTTGCAATGGAAACATAACATAGTTACCAAAATTCGTATACGATTTGTTTACTCGAAAAATAAATACAGATACGATTGTTGGTTATTCTTGATGTAAAAAGAATATGTTTTGGACTAACTAGAGTGCCTATTGCTTCTTCTTTTTCTTCAGGTGCCATCTCCTCTTCGGAGGTTGGCAATCATCATAGCTATTTTAATTTTTGAGGCAGTAGCTCTAAATAGTTGTTTTGAGCTGAATCCAAACCATTCTCTCAGGTTCTTAAACCATAAAATTCGTCTTCTTCCGATGCTTCTTATGTCATCTTTCTTTCCTTACAATATGAGTCGCATAACGCCATACTTCTCGCCCAGCATCACCTGTCCGATATACTGTAGCTTTCTGTCTTTAATCAACTTTCCTCTCTTTACCTATTTTCTCAGTGCTTCATTGTTCGTAACTCTGGTCTACCCAGGAAACCCTCATAATTTTTTTATAGGTCCACATTTCAAAGGCGTTAAGTCGTCTCATTGTGTCTAGATTTAACGTCCATGATTCCACTTCATAGTAAAGTACACTGTATACGTAACATTTTGTTAGGCGTACTTTAAGAGCTAATGTTAAATCTTTACCACATATGACCTTTTTTTTTCATTTTCATAAAATTAAAACGTGTTTTTCGATTCTAACTTTGATTTCTGCAGTGTAGTCATTATTTTCTGTTACAAGTGTTCCTAGGTAAGTGTACTTTTTTACTCTTTAGATCTGCTGGCACTCTACTATCAAGATTTCGTTAGTATCATGGTTGTTTTGACAATTTTCATAAACTGTGTCTTTTTGATATTGAGAGAGAGTCCGTACTCCCTACTACACATTACTATTTTACTTATGAGTCTTTCCAGGCCTTTTAAACTATCGGCTTTTATTACTGTATCATCTGCATATATGATGTTGTTAACTAAGACTCATTTTACTCTTATGCCGACTGTTTCATCTTTCAGAGTTTTTCGAATTACCTCTTCAGAATAAGTGTTAAATAATAGAGGTGATAGTATGCAGCCTTGCTGACTCTTGTCTTTATTTCCGTTTCTTTAGATTTCTTTTTTTCAATTCGTACTAGCGCTCGCTGATTGTAATAAAGGTTTGTTATTAGCCTTGCATCTCTTTCATCTAGGTTTTTGTTTTTTAGAATTTCCATGAGTCGATCATGTTTGACTTTATCAAATTCTTTATTGTAGTCTATAACACAGACGTAAAGAGGACGGGTAACATCCAAACATCTCTGTGTCAGTACGTTGAAGGAGAATAATGCCTCTCTGGTACCCATACCATTGCGGAACCCATATTGTGTGTCACTAATATCCAGCTCCAGCTTAGAGTGAATTCTGGCGTGGCTAATTTTCAACAGAATTTTCAAGGTATGTGACATTAAGCTTATGGTTCGATAGTCACTGCACTCTTTGGCATTCACTTTCTTTGGCAAACACACAAATGCTAATGTCAACATTTCTCTAGGGATGATTCCCGTAGTATAGATAGCGTTAAACAGTTCTACTATTATGTCTAGGTTTTTCTCGTTGACCAACTTTAATAGCTTGCTTGGTAATTTATCTGGACCAGCCGATTTATTGATTTTCATTGAGTTTAATGCCTGACGACCTTTGGTAGCTGGTAGCACTTCTCTAAGGTCGCGCTAGAGGACAGGCTGCTACAGGGAGTGGCGTCCCTGCCGTACGCTAGCTACTGACTTTCTCCTATGTCCAAGCCTTTAGGAGAGGCCAGGTCCCACAAACTAGAAAAAGGCCCTTAGTCCCCGGCGACCCAACGGTCCCTGGTGACGGTAGCCACCAGATTCGACCAAGGGTAGAGGGTGCAAAGAATCACCGGGATAGACACAGCTACCATGGACAACGAACATTGTATATTGCCACTTATAACGTAAGAACGCTTGCAAGCGAAGATAAGCTCATTGAATTACAGGAAGAACTTATCTGCATAAAATGGGATGTATTGGGACTTTTCGAAATACGAAGAAAAGGAGAAAACCAATTTGTTATAAAATCAGGGCATCTGCTACATTCCATTGGAGAAAACGATAAGGCAGTTGACGACGTAGGCTTTCTCGTGCACAAGAAACATCTAGATAAAATTATAAAAATAGAGAGTGTAAGCTCACGAGTTGTGTATCTCATATTAAAACTGAACGAGAGACGTTCTATTAAAATTATCCAAGTATATGCACCCACGACGAGCCATAGCTATGAAGAAATCGAAAACTTTTATGAAGATATAAATAGAGCTATAGAAAAAGATAAAACCCATCACCTAATCTTAATGGGAGATTTAAAAGCTAAACTTGGATTTAAAGTAGATAACGCACAAGTGGCTATTGGCTCATTTGGATACGGTGAGCGAAATGATAGAAGAGGTATGCTACTACATTTTTTGTTGCATCATCGGCTCTATGTGATGAACACATTCTTCAAAAAGAACCAACAACGTAAGTGGACGTGGGCTAGTCCAAATGGCATAACAAAAAACGAAATTGATTTCATCATCACAAACAGAAAAAATATTGTCCAAGATGTTACAGTAATTAATAAAATCACTGTTGGGAGTGACCATCGGTTGGTTAGAGCAAAAATAATGATCAACATTAGACAAGAGAGGACAGTAATGATAAAAGAGAGGCATTCTAATAAATGAAAATCGATAGAAGATAGAGTAGCTTATCAAAATCTCATAACTTCAGAACTGAAAGAAGTAGAACATCTAAATGAAAATGCATTAGATAAAGAGGTAACAAACATGCGAATAAATAAAGCGATTCGAAACGCTCATGAAAAATATAAGGAAAAAGAAAAAACAAAATGGATAAACTCACTCAAGCTACTAAAGATCTTATAAACAAAAGAAGAGAATTAAAAGACAAATACACAGATAATTTTGTAACACTTGGACCATTAAACAAAGATATCACAAGATCCATTCGAAAAGATGTCAGAAAAATACAACACTGAATGCATAACTCAAACCATTGATAAAAATAAAAGTTTAAAGGTTCTGCACCGACAAATGACTGAAGGATCGAAAAATATTTGTAAACATGTAAATAAAAACGAAGAAACTACAACAAATAAATAAGATATTTTAAAAATTGCTCAAGATTTTTACTCAGAATTGTATAAGCGAGAAGAACTGCCAGATCCTGATCAAAATCAAATACCAAAAGTTCAAAATGTAGGCTCAGAAGACATTCCAGATATCACAACAGAGGAAATAAAATCAGCTCTCTCGGAGATGAAAAACAATAAATTACCTGAAGAAGATGGGATAGTCAGTGATTAAATCAAAGAAGGAGGAGGGACGTTACTAAATGTGTTGAAAAAGATGTTCAATGCTTGTTTGACAAAAGGCGTAACCCCCTCCCAGTGGCATAATGCAATAATAACCATAATGCACAAAGAAGGTGACACTTCAAACCTAAAGAACTAGATACCGATTAGTTTGCTCTCCTATACATACAAACTATTCATGAAGATAATAAGAAAACGGCTTGTGAACAAACTGGATAGTTACCAACCTTGTGAACAGGCTGGGTTCCGCTCCAGATACGGAACAAATGATCATCTACAAATTATAAAAACGCTAATAGAAAAGTGTACAGAGTATATCAAGCCTATCTTTCTTATATTCGTAGATTATGAAAACTACCGATATATCGCTTTAATTAAAAGTATTTACGAAACTGGTACAGCTTGTGTCCGCCTTCATGAAGATACCAAGGACTTTCGAATAGAACTTGGAATTAGACAGGGTGATACTATCTCCCCTAAATTGTTTACATATGTTCTTGAATATATGTTCAAGCAAATGGAACGAGAGGATAATAAGGGAATTAATATAAACAGGGAAGATCTGAACCACCTAAGATTTGCCGATGACATCGTTTTAATATCTGATAGAGTTGATAAAGCTACAAAAATGTTGCACACGCTCTATAAAGTGTCAAAAACAATTGGTCTTAAAATTAACACCTCAAAGACAAAATTTATGACCAACCTTGTAGTCAGCGGTAAAATTCTGATTGAGAGCCATAACATCGACCAAGTAATAGCTTACAAATATCTAGGGCATGAGATTCGCTTAAGCCGAGATAATCAGACAACTGAAATACAAAGAAGGATAGGTCTCACATGGGCTGCCTTTGGTAGATTGAATAACATTTTCAAGTCTAGTATCCCAGTTTGTTTAAAAAGAAAGGTTTTTAACCAGTGCGTTTTACCGGTTCTTACATATGGTGCAGAAATACTGACTCTGACAAAAAGAACAATAGATAAAATAAGAGTTACACAACGCGCTATGCAAAGATCAATATTAGGTATTACCATCAGAGATAAAGTACCAAACCTAGAAATAAGAAGAAGAGCAGGAGTCACAGATGCAGTTGAAAAAATAGCCATGGCTAAATGGGCTTAGGCCGGACATGTTGCCAGGTTAACGAATGATAGATGGACCATAAATATTCTGGAATGGCGACCAAAGCAAGATGCATATCGAAGCAGAGGAAGACCACCGACTAGATGGACGGATGATATCAAACGCAACACCACAAACTGGATGCAAAAAGCTCAAAATAGAAATAGGTGTAAATGTTTACTGTAGGCCTACGTTCAGCAGTGGACAAATATAGGCTAATTGATTATTAATGCCTGACTTATCTCTGATTTGTTTATCTCTGGGCCTAAATCTCACGTTTGGCTTTTTACAAATGTACTAGCTTCTCTTTGGTCGTGAAATAATTCCTCGATGTACTCTTTCCATCGTCGTAGTTTTTGTTCTGTCTTCAATATAATATTTTTTGTCGAGCAATATATTTGAGGTTCTTCTATTTCCTACTCTGGCTAGTTCTTTGACTTTTTTATGTAGATTAAAGTTTTCATATCTGTTTTGCAGTAGTTCTTCTATTACTTTACATTTTTCAAAGAATGCTAGGTTTCTTTAGCCTCCCTAGTTTTTTTTCTTATTTGATTTTCAAGTTGTTTATAGCGGATCGTATTGATGGTTTTGTTTTTACTCCTTTCATTCATCAACTCTAGAATTTCCACGGTCATCCACTCTTTTTTCTTACATTTGGTTGTTGTAAGTACTGTCTTACTTGGCTCTAATATAGAGGTTTTGAAGACTTGCCATAGAATGGAGGCAAAACAAGAATGTTGAAAGATTTACAACAGAAGTACAATAACATAACTGTAGAAGTTATAACGATTTATTTGGATCTGTGTGAAACTTGCCAGAAAAAGTTCACAAAAAAAAAACTTTAGTAGTGAAACCTGTTCTGTCAAAAGAAATGAATTGTAGATATCAAATAGATTTGATAGATGTGTAAGTCCAAGCAGATAATGAATTCATATATATTTTGTCTACCAAGATCACTTAACAAAATTTGTACAATTACGGCAGTTGAAAACTAAACGTTCTGAAGGAATTAGTTCTTCTTGACATAGTTTGTGCCTTTGGAGCTCCTAACATTCTTCAAAGCGACAATAGAAATTTCAAAGCGACGAAAATTCTCCAAAAGAATTATATAAAAATTATGCTCCATGTAGAAAGATTTGAAATACACGATACGCCAAGACACAGTCAGCTACAAGGATCTGTTGGAGGTACGAATTAAGACTCGAAAATATGCTGAGTTTCAAATTGGAAAGCAACCAAACAAACGAGTGGTTAGAGAGTCTTTGATTTGTACAACTACTCACTACTTCACTACCAGAAGATGCTCTAGGAAATATTTCAACTGAATAAGATTTGAAAGCGTTGGTGATACAAGTAGAAAAAATCTAGTTAGGTCCTGATTTTGAAGAACATAAAGAAGCAGAAGTAGATAAACCAAATGAGTTTCTAATAGAACAAGAACCACAACAAACTAAGCAACCATCAGTGAATGAAGCTAATGCGATTCCAGAACAACTAGCATCTAATCATATTTAAGAGAGGCAAGATTCTGTTGCAATTAAACATACACCTGCAAAGAAAGGTCTTGAAAAGAAAGCGAAAAAAATGTTTAAAACATCAAACTTGATATGTCATTCTGGTAAAGTCGGTCTTTTTCTTCAAATTCAAGGTTGAAAATCATCATGGCTATGCGGACCACGGGACCATGTTGACTGCCGCTCTAAATAGTTTTGCACTACTGGATTAAATTCACCCCCTAAGTTCTTAATCCACAAAGTTAATGTTGGTGATACGGTAAAATTAAGAGTGATAGATTTGGACAAAGCACGAAGTATTCTTTTTTATTTTTCATCAGGCTCAATCTATATATATCCAATTCGTTGGTTTGTTCTCTGATTCGTTGTATCCCTGTATCATTTTCGCTATAACTGTTAACCTTTGTAACTTTTTTATCTTTTGTAAAACTTTGAATAGTTCTCTAATCCATTATTTTTTTTATATTATTTTTACTAAACGAAATATAAACTAGAGAAATACTTACGTCTGTAGGATGCACTTGAACCTGTACGTGTGCCTTTTCTATACTAAGAGATTCTTGGCTCAAACACTGATCGTTTTCAGTCTGAGTGGCTGCGTCTGTTAGTTCTTTGCTCCTCAAAAGATGTTGTAGTTGACTAATATCTAGCATCTTCTCTTGTAAGTGGTGTGGTACCGCGTAGCGCACTATAGTTGGTTTAGGAGGTTTGACTTGTTGGTTAATGGCTCTTTTCCTTGCCAATGCTCTTCTCTTTGCTTGCTCGGCTCTGGTATTGGAAATATTTCGATCAGCCTAAGAGAAAAATATGGTTTAGTATATAGTTATATATGTGTTTGTACAGTAAGTTCCAAGCTAAGCTATTGAGGCAATGAGAATGTTAATTTTTCATCGAAAAGCTTTAGTTTATAACAGATCAAAATAATCTAGGCGACAAATACAAAATGCGAAATTACAGAAGGATTTCAAATAATTTATTTCAAATATTTTTAATAAAAAGTTATAAACAAGTGTCCTCAATATAAAATAAAGATTTTTTTCTTATCGTTATTATATATATCGTTATTAATATTTAAAAAAATTAAAAGAGAACTCCATAAGTCAACAAATGTTGACTTATGTAAAATGTTGTTAACAAAAAAAAATAGAAAACTAATTTGTTGCCCCTCAACTCTCAACAAAGTAGTATTTAGGTTAAGTTAGTATAGTGTATGACCTTTACGATTGTTCATTACTGTCCTGAATCTTTAAGGATAACTAATGATCAGAAAGTCAATGTCTTGCTGGGGTATTTTGTTCTACTCCATTGAAAGACCCTCAAACAGTTGCTGTCTTGTATTGAACGCAATATTTTGTTACAAAATGGGTCTGCTCAATATGTCCAATACATGCTCAATTGGATTTAAATCTGGCGATTGTGTAGGCCATAATTTCATTACCTTCGAGGAATGTTGTGCAAAGGGTACGACAATAGGTTAGAGAATAATATAGAGGTATTCCGTTGTATTTAGAAATTATTTCAGACAAACGAGATTGGTTCTTCCAGCAAGAGTGATGTCACCCCATCCCATTATACTGCTGTCTTGCTGTCAAATTCTTGTGCGTCTTCTAACTGGTGCAAATCCAAATCGTGACTTATCTTTGGACAAAGTAAAGGCCCACTCACACCTAAACCAATATGCGTTATCTTGTGTTCACTGAAGTCGATGAGCGCGATTTCCTCTGGTTAACACAGCCAGTCTTTCAGGTCTTCGAGCATTTAATTCTACTTCATGTAGTCTACTTTTAATGGTTTGGCCACTTACAAATATCTGATGGGTCTCATTTGTAATTGTGATGCAGTTACAGTGCTATCCCCCCAAGGTTGCAAACTAATATAACGGTCTTTAATCCGGTTGGTTATCCTTGTACGACCTGTATGACGTTAAGCGATATCAGGAGCTTCTTGACACCTTAACTACAAACGATTAATGACACTTCTGTTCGTATGGAGAACGTCAGCAATGTCTATTTGGCTTCTTCCAGCTTGAAGCATCCCGATAGTACGCCACTGCGTTTCGCAATTTATATGATGTCTCTCCATTATTGGCAATTGCAAAACTAAATAAAATCCACATAGACATCAAAAATCAAGTACTAATAAAGAAATATTACTTTTTATCTTCTACAAAAACTTCTTGTCTTCAGACAAAAAAGTCATATTTAAGTTTTGTTAAATTTTTTATAGCCACTCTTATTAGCATTACCGTCCAAGTTGGTACAATAATCGACAAAAAAATAAAAAGGATTAAAACATAAATTTTTGTATTTGCCGCTGATTTTAATTTAAAGCAATTAACATAGGTGTCCCCTAGGTTATTTTGATGTGTGTAATATTCTACTATCACGGACTCTTTCAAGTGCCTCTAATCATATCGTTATATTATCGTAAAGTTATGGAGTCTGAAGAAAACGTGGTGCCCATTAGAGGATTTAATAAAGAACTTCTAATATCCTTCAAATAAGGCGAATTGGTAAAATTATAATTAAGGTGGTACTAGTTCTTTAGATTATGTGGAGTCTTCTAAATAATATTAAACTAAAGGAAGAAAATTAAGAGCCTTTATTCTGGGTTATTTATTAGAGAGCAAGGGTTTGCTTGATTCGGAATATTTATACCCAATTTGATGCTGCATATTTTCAGGAAAACATTTAATACCCTTCACGTGTCTTAAAGATTATACGAATGCATAGAGAAGTCGAAAAAATGGTACAATTGAGTACCTATATTGCAAAACGAACTCTTATTGTAGAATTTGAAGGTAATATACTGCCTCTATTATAACAGAGTGATTAAATCAATCGCAAAATCCTATTCTTTTAGGATAATCTTACATTTTTATTACTTAGTATATTTAGCAACAATAAGTGTTATACAACCAAACTACAGGATTTTTAAAACATAATAAAAAAGAAGCACCATCTTGATAAAAACTGGCTTATTATAAGCATTATATATTAACATTTTTATAGAATGCACAAATTTCATGTTTTTTTTAAGATGTTGTCGCCATAAGAAAGTCACATTTGAATTTTCAACATAAAACATTTTTCGATATAGGGGAGGGTAGTACACAATGATACAAAAAACACATTTTCATTTCTGACATTGATATTTTTGAATTTTTCTACAAACTTAGTTGTACCAATATGATTATTTCCTCAATATAATCTGAAATAAATATTCCCTCATGAGTGAAAAAACAAAATCTATGATTATTTTTCTAACCATCTACATTTGTCTCATTGTGTACGATTGGTGGTACACAATTAGTCAAGTGATATTGTTTCAATAATTTGTTAAAGTAAATAAATAAAGTGTAGTTTTTATTATTGAAAATAGCAATTTTACATTTACAATAGAAAAACTGATGTGAAAGAAAATTTTAAAATTAAAATAAAAATTAATAAATTAAATTAAGATTTTAACGGGTCTTAAAACTGTCAAACTTTACATCAAATATGAAATAAGATGCAAGGCGCTTGTTTTTTGATCTACATTTTTTGGTTTTGGTAGAATTAATACAACGTCTGACCTTGCTACTGCAACAATGTCTTCAACTAAAAGAAAATTAAAGCAGCCTTGAAGCTTACCACTTTTTCTTAAAAATGACACTTTAAATTATTCACTCTTCCCGAATGAAGTACTATCACTTCGTTTATTTTTTTTTTCTGGTTTGGTGCTGAGCCGCTTACATTATTTAAATTGACCTTAATTCGTTTATTATTCTGAGAAGTCTTTTTTTTGGTTGCTGCTTGTAGTTTTCACTGGTGTGTAAGTAAAAATTGCACTCTTTTTAGTTTTCCTTGCCTTTACACCTTTTTTATTTTCTGCTTTTGGAAATCCTTTAAACTAATGAGGGGATATGAAAGAACTTGAATTCACAGATGATACTATTGACTTAGAGTTTTGAGACATTATTGGTTTTTCAGGTGTCCTTGGTGGGGATACTTCTTAATTTTTAGGTGTCTTCGATGAGGATGATATAACTTGATTGGAAAGCACACTAAACATTTCTGTAAACTCTAGTTATGGATTGGGTTATTCAGTATCATTTGGTCTATCAGTCATAGAACTGCCAATGAAGTTAGCTTCAGAACAAATGTCTCTATTAAGGAGAAAAATTCCCGTTTTATTAAAACCTGACAGAATATTAGTAGGTGCTAATGCTTTCATATGTGCCTCTTCTACACATTGTGCTATCTGGTATATTGAAATAGGTTTACCAGGACGGTTCAGCAGCCATGAGTCTATACCGGCATTGTAATACGCTTTAAAGGAAGAGAAAATTGAAACATCAATGGGTTTAAGTTTGTTACTACAATGTGGAGGCAAAGTTAGTATAATTATACCATTATCATTTGCCAGTTGAACAACTTGATATGTTACGTGACTCTCTCTCTCTCTGATATAATTGTCGTAGATCAGTATGGAAGGGTTTTCAATTGAACGGTTGCTAAACTTGATGAAATGTTTTATAACGTCGACAAACAGCTTGTTATTCATCCATCCACTTGGATCTGCCAAACCCAGTGTACCAGGTGGAGATCTTTATGTCATATGCTCCTTATAATATTTCCTAGTAAAAAAAATTACAAAAAGCAGAAAAGTACCATTTACACATACAATTACACATGTAGTGATAAGAATACTGTCACCGATAATATATATTTTAATTATAATTAAAATAACTATTGAGCTGTTTTACACCTTTATCTACTACTAGTACTTCCCTACTACTGTACTAGTCTCATCAAGGTTATATGTCCTGATATTAGACACAGCTGATGAATATTTTGAATAAACGGAATGTAAATTGTCAAGGAACTTGATGACAATGTGTGGATTAAATGATGTTAATCTTGATAAACTGCAACCCTTTGGTTGACGTATACTTTTATTTAGCGTATGGACTTTCACAGTACGATAAATGTACAAATACAATAATATATACATATCTATTAAATATATTGTTTAAACACTAAAGATAGAATGAATGACACTAAATATTAATGTCCAATTTACATAGCCATTCAATTGCTTCTAGGGAACATTCCGCAAAGTCCTGGAGATTTCCACGGTAGGCACGATTCAAGCAGTCTGAAACACAATGGCTTATGGTCTGTCTAGATTGTCCGCAATCGCACTGTTTACTTTCTGCACGACCCCACCTGAAGAGCGAATCAGCACATTTACCATGTCCGGTACGTATACGATTTAGCCTTGCCCAAGTGGACCGGGGCAGATTTGATCCGATGAAACCTTGAGTTGGGGTGGATATCTTAATATAGTCCGATTCTACTGTTGGCATCCATTTTGTTGTCCATTGCCTATGTATATCATAGGAATTACCAATTTTTCGGGCAGATCGTATTGGAGGATTTCTAGATCTCAGTCGCTGGTGCTCTTTTGAGATATCTGGGATATCTTGATGTATTGGTAATTGTAAGTTAACTACAATTTTCTGGTACTCTCTTACTAATGCTGCTGTACGGCGAAGATCTGGTGGAGCAATATTGTTCAGAGTAGGTAGCCATCTCACTAGCATTGGTTTTATTGTTCCAGTGATTATTCTCATGGTTTGGTTAAGTTGGACATCGATTTTGCTTGTATGTGCACTATTTAGCCATACTGGCGCACAATATTCTGCCACTGAAAAAACCAAAGCTAGAGCAGAAGTCCGAAGAGTATCTGCAGAAGCACCCCAAGTTGTTCCAGCAAGTTTTGGTATTAAGTTATTTCTTGTTCTTAGTTTACCGGCTGCGTTTATAAGATAACTTTTGAAGGTGAGTGTTCTATGAAGTGTGACGCCTAGATATTTGGGGTTGTTGTTATGTTTGATAGCTGTCTCATTTAGAGTTACATTGAGAGTATCGCCCGCAAGTTGATTCGACAGGTGAAAGAGACAGGTTTCAGTTTTGCTTGTGTTAGGACGTAAGCGCCAGTTCTTAAAATAGTTACTTAGTGTAGTTAAGTCCTCGTTTAGAGCTCGTTCTCCTGCTTCTTTACTATTATCTTGGAAGCCAATGGCCAGGTCGTCAGCATAAGCAAATTTTCTCGATTTTGTTTCAGGTATATCTGCTGTATAAAGGTTAAATAATAAAGGAGCTAGCACTGAGCCTTGAGGTAAGCCGTTGTTAAGTTTTCTTAACAACGTATACTGAAGTTCCCACACCTATTTAAAAATGAACGGAACTATTTGAGTCCAGCTATTTTACCTTTGATCCAATTCACTGGAACTGGACTATTGTTTTTAATTGCTATGTCATATGCTACCTTTAGTGCTTGGATGGTTGTTAATCCGTAGCTCATTATGCTACAAGTTTTGATATAGTCACATAGAGAAATTTCCTGTTCCTCTGAAAACACACGTCGTACAGTAGAATTGGGTTCCATTTGATCATCATCTGGATTAGTAGTACGTTTTTTTGCGACATATTTTTGAAATGTCTGAAATTTTACTCCGTGTTCAACGGCAGTAATTCTTAATGATTTACCGTCCAAAACATCTTGTACGGCACTTGCCATATCATCGGAGCTGAGTGTCGCTCGACTACTTTGTTTTTCTTTGCGCACCATGTCTGTAACAAACATAACATAACTTTCATTCTACTTATACAACATATCATTATCGCATAAATACTTAGAACAAATGTTAGTAGTACACAATGGGATAATCGTCTCATTGTGTACTGTCACCCGGTGTCTCATTGTGTACCAAGTAGCATTGTTGTAAACAAATGCAAATAATCATATTTAATTATTAGTTTTGAGACACGACTATTTGAGGTTAGACTAACTTTTTTTTTCGTCTTTATAGAGGGGGGGTCTGGAATCTTCAAAAGACATCTCAGTCCAGGACGCCGCCTGACTGACCTTAGTGCAGGATTCGTTCTTCGTACTCCCGGCGATAGTTCCAGAGGTACTTTAAAATGCCCCTCGTCGCCGAGTCTACGCCGAACGCCTACCTGCTAAACCAGACCCTCCTCTGTCATCCAGCGATCCGGAAGCGGAATGGCCGCTGTAAGGCCGGCATCACTTCCGAAGCACTACCTTTATACATTCATTCTCCATTCATACACATCCACACTCTATTTCGGCATCATTCTCAGAAGGGCATTTTCTCCTTCCCCACAGTCAAAGAGGCATTCTAACTCAAAAAGTGTGACCCACTGTTCTAACTTCACCTTTCAGCATCATTCACTCTACCTTTGCCGTTGGTCCAGCTGTCTTTCTTCCTCTTCCTTTTTTTTGATCACTGTACGGATATAACTGTGTATATTAATCCAACCTAATTTATTTTCAATCATTCTCTCAATCATTTCCCTCACTGTAACAAAATTCACACCTGTCTCTCTCTCCATTCTGTTCCTTTCCACTATCCATCTGCTGCAATCTAACATCGTATGTGTCACAGTGTGCGAGTATCCACAATATAGGCATTCATCTGTATCAGCCTTACCGATCCTATAAAGGTAGGCCGTAAAACACCCGTGTCCTGTGAGCACCTGCGTCAGGAAATAATCCAATCGCCTGTGATCACAGTCCACCCAAACTCTTATGTTAGGGATCAGCATTTTCGTCCACTGTGCCACATCCTCCGTATTGTTCCATTCTTCTTGCCATCTTTCAACTGACCTTTCCCTTACCTGTCTTCTCTCAGCCACAGTAAGGTTTGGGCCTCTTCTCTCATAAAGCTCTTTTCTTTCCACCGCCAAAATATGCAACGGAACACATCCAGTGATGGTCCATAAGGCTGCCGCAGACACAGTCCTGTAGGCGCAGGCCACTCGCAACAGACTTGTTCTGTCTACTCCTTTCATAAGACTCCTATAGGCCGTTATCTCTACCGCCTCGCTCCAGACTGGTGCTGCGTACAGAACGATAGACTATATAACACCGTATAAGGCCCTCCTCCTTTCGGATTTGGGTCCTCCAATGTTCGGCATCACTCTCCCCAACGCGGCCGCACTATTCGCAGCCTTTCGGACCACCTCCCGAACGTGTTCCCCCCATTTTCCATTCTGGTGCAATATCACTCCTAGATACTTTACTTGTCTCTTGGGTGTTAGACATACTCCCGCACATTTCAATTCAACACCTTGCCTGTTCCTTGTCCCCTTCAGAATAATGGCTTCGGTTTTCTCTGTCGCAAGTTTTAGTCCGTGCTGCGTCATCCATTTCTTTACGACGCCACCTGCGTTCCGAACCCGGTATTTGAGATCTGGCTCATCCCGGGCTACTACCAGTACAGCGAGGTCATCCGCGAATGCGAAGGGGGTTGTACCCTCTCCGTATTCACAGTGCATAACCCCGTCATATGCCAGATTCCATAGCGTCGGGCCCAAGACAGATCCCTGGGGTACCCCGGCCGTCACGTCCACGATCGTGCCCTTTTCCACCATAATCCTTCTCTCGGACAGATACTCCGCCATAATATTCATCAGGTAACTAGGACATTCTCTCTCCTCCATTGCCTTCATTACCTCGTTCCACTGCAGCGTATTGAATGCATTCTTAACATCAAACAACAGCAGGGCCGCCCAGCGATGTTCATTCCCTCTGTTGTGCAATGTTTCGAGTACACTCATGATTGCATCAATCGTGCTTTTCCCTTTACAAAAGCCACATTGCCTCCGAGATAAACCACCTGACCTCTCAATCATGCCGTCTATGCGTACTCGCAGCATAAGACTAACTTATGCTTGGTGGTAAATTTAAAAAAAAAATTAGAATGTCTTTTTGTGTACCATGTCTCATTATGTACTACTCTCCCCTATTGAGAAAAATCGATTTTCATTTTGTAACTTCAAAGGGCTGTAACTTTGGTATGTGCACATTCGTACTAATCTAAGTTAGGTTTAATTTGAACTATTTTTGGTCTTAGAATATGTGACTTAGTTTATGACCTACCTTATTATTATACCCTGTATTTTCAATGATGCAAAAATTATATATTTAATACTATTTATAAGCGCATGTGCACACATAAGCAAAATGGAAACATCTAAAAGATAAATAAGAATGATGTAGAGTATGATTGATATACACAGAAAATGAAATGTAGGTATGTTACTTTACGTACCTCGTCACATGACAGAAGTTTGGCAAACGCAAAATTAGGGTTCCATCTTGGCTGCCAAACAGTACGACACAAATGTTACAAAATTACAACTTACACAGAGATTGTGTTAATTTAGAAATCATAATAAGCCGAATGTGTACCTGATAAGGAATGTTCCAAAAAGTGATATAATTTTACCTGATTTTCCAGAGTTGATACGTAGTGTTCCCTATGTACTTTTTTTTCTATGGTGGAGCGAGGCTTTGATGTATCTCTAAAAATTGAAAAATACTCAAATAATAGGCCGGAATATAAATTTAATATAGTTTATGTGTCTATTAGTTGTATATTTGACTAAACAAATCAAAAACGTTCAATAAATATTTTTGATTGTCTTTTTATTTATGTAAAGACCTTGTAAAAACAAGAGATTTAAGAATGGCGTCACCAGAGTAACGACATATCCTGGTACAGATATCGGTTCAGACCATAACCCTGTAATAACTGATATCAAAGTGAAGTTCAAAAAAGTCCAAGAAAGCCCCAAAACACAAAAATTAAATATCTCAATATCCAACAAAACGTTAATAGAAAATGACTTAAACAATAAACTAAAGAAATCAATAAATGAAAACAACACAGAAATATGGAACACATTTAAAGATCTTACCTTGAAAGTAATAGAAAAATATTCAACAACGTTACACATTCACAAAAAACAACAATGGATGACTGATGAAATCCTGGAACTAATGGAGCAGAGAAGGAAACTGAAAGGTAACAAGACAGAATATAAGGAAAAACAGAAACTAAATAAATAAAAAATAAAGGTGGCTAAAGTAAAATGGATGGAGGATAAATGCAAGGAAATAGAAAAGTTGAATGAAAAACATAATACGTTTAATATGTTTAAAAAAGTTAGAGAAGTAGCTGGTCTTTATCATAAGAAAACTCCACATACTATAACCGATTCGTCGGGAAAAATGATAATAGACGAACATGAAATTCAAACAACCTCGTGTAATTATATAAGTGAACTGTATAATGATGATAGACCCGAAGAACCGGAGACTTTAGTTGAAGGTGAAGGACCAGAACTACTAAAATTAGAAATACTGCATGCTATAAAGTTAGCAAATAACAACAAAGCCGTTGGCCCTGATAACATACCGACAGAGATGTTAAAGCTTATAAATGAGGAGAACATTGGAATACTGGTAAAACTTTTCAATGATGTTTATTCGACTGGTGATATCCCTGAAGATTGGTTAAAGTCCGAATTCATAACACTACCAAAAAAAAAAAAACAACGTCCGAAAAACTGTAGCGATTATAGAATGATAAGCCTTATGAGCCACACTTTGGCTTCAGAAATGGACTGGGAACTCGGGACGCCCTCTTCGCACTAAATGTATTACTGCAGAAATGTCGCGATCAAATGAAAGACGTCTTTGCTGTATTTATTGACTATGAAAAGGCCTTTGATCGAGCACAGCATCACAAATTAATTACACTATTAAAAGATAAAGGAGTTGATAGTCAAGACATACGATTCATAGAAAAGTTATACTGCCGTCAAACAGCAACAGCTTGCATAAACGGAAAATCAACAGAAATATGTAAAATACAAAAAGGTGTCAGACAGGGTTGTATACTATCCCCACTGTTATTTAATTTATATTCGCTCGCTCGCAGAGATAAGCACCCTTTAAGGTTTAACCCGAGGATGTTACAAGGGTTACAGTTATTTGAACTCCGCTAGTATTTCAATGGTAACAGCGGACTTGAACCCGCTAGTTTCACACTATTTTGTAATATAGAGATTTTAAATCTGATGCTTGCAATGTTGCGAGGTTTAAGGTTTTTCTGATATCATTAGTCACTTTGGTTTTCTATCTTAAATACTCTGTAGATTGTACTATTATTGGAATCCCTACTTCAATACGAGTTCAACAATATCCAACACTTATATTACAGGGAAAGGTCTCCGGAAAGAGAGGACCAGGAAGAAGAAGAATGTCTTGGCTCCAAAACTTTCCAAAATGGTTTTCCTTGACCACTTCAGGACTATTTCGAGCTGCGGTCAAAAAAGTTAGAATTGCCATGCTAGTAGCCAACATCCGTAATGGAAAGGCACCACAAGAAGATTTAGTAATGAAATTGTATCTTCTCTGAAAAATAAGTTTGGAGCCAATTTTAATGAGTTGCGGAAGAAGAATGGGGAAAATTTAAAAATGCGATGATAAAAACAGCTAAATCAATATGTGGAACTACAAGAAATAACAACAGAGGGAGACGTATATCTTGGTGGAACGATGAAGTGAAAAGAGAAATAAAAGAAAAGAAGTTATGGAAAGAATACATAAGAGACAAAACACAACCAAAATATGAAAATTATAAGAGACAAAGAACAAAAGTTAAAGAGATAGTTAAGAAAGAGAAAAAGAAAATTTGGGAAAAATTCGGAGAAAAAATGGAAGAAAACTGTACAGAAACCGTAAAATTATTTTATAGA